TACTTATATAATAATATCTCTGAAAGATATTTATTAATAAATAAATAAAGAAATAAATAATTATAAATGAAAAATATAAAATAAGTAATATACTAGTTATATTAGTAAAATAAGAGAAGAAAGAAATTCTATTAAGAAATTTTTTATAGCTAAAATAACTCAAATATATCAAATAATTTTCTTGATAAAATGAAATAATTTTTGTGATGCAATATATGATATAATAATAATTTATAAAATAAAATATAATTTATTATATATATAATATTTCTGAATTTTATATTATATTTTAAGAATATTAAGATTTTTAAATAAATAAAAATTTTAATAATATAAAAATATTGAAAAATTAAAAATTTTTATTTTAGAATTTTAATAAAATATTAAATAGTAAAAATTTAATTATTATTAAATTATAAAATCTATTTTTAATTATATAAAAATATTATTATATTTAATAATATTTATTAATAAATTATAAATTAAAATTAATAATTTTAATATTATAATTATTATAATAAATTTATTAAAAAGTATTATTATAATTAATAATTTTATTAAAAAAATTCTATATTTATCAAATAATATTATATTAAAATATTATTCTAAGAAGTATTATTATAAATTTTATTATATTTTATTTATTAAAAAGATAATAAGAGAATTTTATATTAATTAAAATTAAAATCTATTTGAAAATTTATATTTAATTTTTAATATATTTTTATAAGAAAATTATAAAAATAAATAATATTAATATTTTATTATTATATTAAATTAAAATATAATAATAATCAAAGATAATATATTAGAGAATTAATTTTAAATATAATAAAAATTAAAATTTGCTCTTTATATTAAGTTTATAATTTATTAGTAATTTTTATTTTTATATTAAATAAAGTTTATAAATTATAATTTAATATTTATTTTTTCAGATTTTTTCTAAAAGAATTCTAATTACAAAATTATCACAAAATTTTTTTTAATTAAAAATAAAATTTAATTAGAAAAATATTTTGTAATAATTATATAATTAGAATAATTTATTCAGAAAAAATCTGAAAAAATAAATATTAAATTATAATTTATAAACTTTATTTTAATATAAAAATAAATTTTTTCTTAATAAAATTATAAATTTTAATATAGAAAAAAATTTAAATTTTTATTAAAAATATTAATTTTCTAATATATTATCTTTAGCTATTATTATAAATTAAATACAATATATAATAAAAAAACTAGATATTTTATTTTTGATTATATTCAATAAATAGTTATTTAATTCATATAAAATTTTAAATATATACTTAATAATCTAATAAAAAAGTTTACTTAAAAATATTTAATAGCTTATCTTAATAAAATTTTTTATAATTAATATTTTTTTATTAAATTTTTTTTGAAAAAATTAATTATAAAAAATTTAAAATACTTTTTTAATCTTTTTTTATTTGTTATTCAATGAATGTTTATTTAAATAATATAAAATTTTAAATATATATACTTAATAATCTAGTAAATAAGTTTACTTAAGATTAATTTATAAAATAATAATTAAATTTATTTATAATAATTTATTTAAGCTTTCTTATTATTAAAAATTTTAATTTTAAAAATATAAATTATAAAAAATTTTAAAAAAATAAGTATTCAAGTAGTCTTAAATAAAGTTATTTATTATATTCTTAAGTATATATACTCACCAGACAAAAGTATTAACTCAAATATTGGTGTTACATGAAATGATAAAAATATTAATATCTTTATCATATAATAAAATGAGAACATACTAATATATATTGTATGAATTTTATATCATTTGAATCAGAAATTCATAAAATTTTTATTGATAATCTTAATATTATGTTGAATTATCTTTACTTTTAATTATAACCTGAACTCTTTATGCTATACTTTCTACTAATTTTTCTAAATAACTCATATCTATATTTACTTACTCATCCTTCAAAGTCATAAATAATTCCTACTTATTTTTGAAATGGGACTGTCTTTTGTGAATTGCTCTTTCTAAATAATCTAAAACATGCTTGATTAGATTAAGATCTGGACTCTGAATAGGCTATAAAAGTGAAGCAATTAAATTTTCTTCTTTCCACTGATATACCAGTCTTGATTGATGAATTAGACAATTATTATCCTAAAAAGTATATAGATTCAGTTCCAATTCATTCAAGAATAATAGGAGACTGTTTTTAAGTAATTCTATATAGCTAGTACTATTTATTTTTTCTTTAATTACAATTAATAGTCCAGGTCTATTATTAACAAAACAGTCTCATATTATAACACTATCTTCTTCATGTTTAACAATTGGAATAAGATAATCAACAGCATATTTTTCTTTTGAATGATGTCAAACTGTTTTGTAAGTATTATTTTGAAATAGACAGAAATAAGATTCATCACTCCAAATGATTGTTATCTTTCTTTACACCATTTGAAGTATTTTTCTGATTTGCTTCAGAAATAAAAGATTTTCTTACTCTAACAAGATTGTGAAAATCTAATTTATGAAGGTAATGATTAATTATTTTGGAATTGATCAGTATAATTAACATCTTATTGATTGATTGAGTAAGCTTATCTAACATATTTTATTTATTTTTTATCATCTCTTTTGATAATTGTTGAAGATTATGCTCTGTCAAAACTTTTGGCTAACCATTTTAGAGTTTAATAGTCACCTATTGTTCTTTCCAAAATGTGTCAATAACTCAAGAAACTTATACTTGGGTATGACCAAGGGCTTTTGCAATTTCGTGAGTAATTTTCTTGCACTTCCAGTAACCAATAATCATATCTCATTCAAAATCAGTTAATTCTTAATTTAATGACATTTTTGAAAATTATAAGTAATTACTAAAGTATTGATGAATTACAGGACAAAAAATTAACACGTTTGAACAAGTATTAAGCTCATAATCATTATTTGAAGTTTGTTTATGTTACTGATTTTTTGTATAACAGATTAGCTGAGTTGATACTTTTGTCCGGTAAGTGTATATTTAAATCATTTAAATAAATATTTATGAAGAAAATTGAAATATCCAGTTTTTTTGTTACATACTGTATAATAATTATCAAATATAAGATTATAAAACTGAATTTATTTTATTTTTAATTTATTATTATAAATATAAAAAATTATTTATATTTATATATTTTTTAAAGTTATATTTTCTTTTAATAATTATATAAATAATAATTATTAAATTCAAAAAAAAATGTAATTTAAAATTAAATATCTTATAAGTTATTAATAAAATTTAATAAAATATAATTACAAATTTATTTAGTTTATAAATTAAGAAATTTTTATTTTGTTTAAAAAAAATAAAAAATTATATAATAAATTACTAAAAATTTTTGAATTATTACTTAATTAAATTTAGTAATAATATTATTTAATTTTTTATAAATAGAATATTAAATAATAATATTACTATCAAATTAATTTGAAAAATTATTCATTAAAATTAATATATTATTTTTTTTATTTTAGCTAATTTGTTTAGTTTTATTCAGATTTAATTCTAATTTATTCTAAAAATTTTAATAAAATTATAGAAGATTTTAAAGTTGCAATAATATTATAAAATATTATTACTATTAGTAATTTAGATTAACTAATTTAAAATAATTTTACATATGCTAAGTGTAGCCACTAGAACAGTATTGTACATTTCAATATCCAAAGCTTTTTTTGCTAGTTCAACTCAAAATTGCCCAAGAATTTATGAAACTTAAAAAAATTATATAAAAAATATGTAAATTTTTAAACATTTTTACTTAATGTACTAAAGCAATTGTCATATCAAATTTTAAATTATTGGCATTTTTTCTTGTATTGCATTGTCCAAACTATTGTCCAAAACTGTTCCATCACAACACTGATCCTGTGTGTGCATTTTAAGGAGTGCGTATTTAAAAGTGGGTATTTTAATAATGTTCAGGATCAGTCTAGATGCATTTAACGAAGTGTGCATTTATAGAGGGTATTTAATTAACTGATATTAAGAAATTCTTTTTAATTCGCAAATATGTTTAATTATTGGTAATCTGTAAATTCTCTGCTAAAGTTACAGAAAACATCGAGTAAAAAGTGTATTTAATCGAAGAAAATTCTTGAACCATATTGCAAAAATGAAGAAATTTATACGTCAAATTAATCAAATATTACACAGCAATTTAATGAAATATCAAAAATTCTTTACGTGAGTAGAAAGGAGCTGATATAACAGAAAGCAACTTTTTAAACAAATGTAATTTAAAGCGAATAGATAATTGCCGTTTTAGATCAAATAAAATATAATGAACAATAAGTATTTATCAACAAAAGTTAATGAACTAAGGTGCTTCATTGAAAGCCAACCTTTAATCATCTGAAAATATTAAAATAATTTTGCTGAAACTTTTGCTGGTGATAGAATAACGTTGTAACCGATGCAAATATCAATTAATTAACGACGAGATACTAAATTTCATTTTGTGTTCAAAAAAATTGAACCTGTCCAGCATATGTATCAATTTCACGTTTCCTGTATGATTCAAACTTAGCGAGAATAAATGATGCTGACTCATGACGACAAATAGAACGCTGAAAGATCATACAGAAGAAATTATCCTTAGTGTGTTATTGCATTCATGGTTTGTCTTTTGGTTCAGAAAACAGAACGTTACTTTTTGATTAGTTCAATAAGGAAGAGCAAATAATAAATTATCTTACAAACAATGTATATTCTGCATTAAAAGGTTGATTATTACATGTATATTCTTTATTCATCATTCGTAATGAATGCATTTTAAGAAAATTTGCTTTATCAGTGATACGTTAATCATGTACATGTACAACCAAATGCCGTGGAATAGTAAAACACAGGCTATCACTATTGTTTCATTATTACATGTTCATGTATTTCGTACAATTGCTTAGATAAATAATCATTTGTTTTTAAATTATATACCATCGAAAAATGACGAATTCTAGCAGCGATATTCGTGTGGTAGTAGGCATTGGTATGACTGAATATCAAAGCGATGTACATGTATATATTTTTGTCAAGGCAATTAATATGCGGTTTAATTTTTTTTCATAGATTTCGGAACAACTTATTCAGGTAAATACGCAATATAATGGCAATAGAAAGAAGATTAAATTTTAAACAAATTTGACAAAATAAATGCCAGGATTTGCCTACGCGTATGTTAACGCGAATGTGGACACGCCCAATAGCATAGAGACTAATGATACTTGGTAAAATACTAGTAATTCACTAAATCTGTAATATAAGCTAACATTAAATTTTGGGAAAAGGCCCGAAAAAAAAGGCGAATTCAAAACAAATACGGTTATTCGATATGATGATAAGTTCAATGTTCTCAAGTGGGGTTTACCTGCTTTGGCTGAAAAGGTTTCCAGAAAGAGTAAAAACTCAAAATTTGAAGAAATTCAGATTGCTGAGTTATTCAAGCTTCATCTCGGCGACATTTCCGAAGAAGAAAAACCAAAGTTACCTCTAGGTTTAGATCCCAGAAAAGCAATCACTGATTATTTATGTGAAATTAGAAAGGTATTCTTACAAAGTTTAACTATATATGATAAATTTGAATCTAATTAGAATTTACAAAATAAAGCTTCTAAAATCCAGAATATCTGACCGATGGCCAGGATTGATTTACTTTAAACATGTTCGGATTGTTCTCACTATTCCCGTTGAATATGATGAGAGAGTTCGCGCTATCATGCGACAATGTGCCTACGATGCGGAACTTATACTTACACTTGAATCAGAAAATCTGGAATTCACTACTGAATGTATGTATATGAAACCTAACAGATAGTAAAATCTAATATTAAACTTAATTTTTATATATATTTAGCGGAAGCAGCTGCAATTTATTGTCTTGAAAATCTAAGTGAACATCCCTTAAAAGAAGGAGGTGAGATAATCTTATTCTTTGTACTCAATAATCAGATTTGACGTATGTTTATAATTCTTTTATGTATGCAGATTCATTTATGATTGTTGATTGTGGCGGCGGGACAGTCGATTTGACAGTTCGCACGATTCTCCCCGATTTACAATTAAGTGAACTCACAGAAAGCACTGGTGATTTCTGCGGCTCTGCATATATTGACAAAGAATTCAAAAAATTTTTGGAAATTAAAATTGGAAAGTCAGCGCTTAAATTTATGGAAGAGAAGCATTATCCTCACCTTCAATATTTGATTCAATACTTCTGCACCCATGTTAAGCTTCCATTCGATGGCGATGAAAGAAACTGGCGAAACAAAGAAATTGATCTTGAAGAAGTTTGTCCCGTTATTATGCAATACGTGAAAGGCGAGGAAAGAGAAGACCTAGAAGGGTGTGAATGGCTTATCGAATTAGACTTCCAGACGGTTAAATATTTCTTTGACAAAGTCGTCGGCAATATTTTAAAGCTAATCCGCGAACAACTGACCAAGTCGGAAAAGAATATCGCTGCAATTTTTTTAGTTGGCGGGTTTTCTGAATCCAAGTACTTGTTACAGCGTGTCCGATAGGAATTTAATCACCAAGTTTCGTATATTTCAGTCCCATCTTATCCAGTCACTAGTATTGTTAAGGGTGCTGTTATATATGGTAATTATTTTACACATGATAAAATAATAATTTATATATGAAGAATTTATTGCGACTCATTTTTCTATTTAGGTCTGAAGATGGATGCAATTAAAACACGTGTACTCAAAAAAACTTACGGGATCAATTATTGCCGCAATTGGACCCCCAATGATCCAGCCGAAAAAATGAAAATTATAGGTGGTCAAAAGAAAATTTTAGTTTTTAAGAGATTGGCTAAAAAAGGGACTGAGGTTTATGTTGACCAAGCATTCAAAGAAATAGTTTATCCGATATATAAAGAACAGTCAGCATGTAATTTCTCTATCTATAAAATTAATGCTGACGATGGAAAATACTGTGATGATCCAGAAATGAAGTTATTTGGGACACTTAATTTGGTGAGTGCAGTCAACTTTATGTTCAAGCGAGTCTGAATTATATTAACTTTTCTTTATTATTAATAGGAAATTCCTGACGTTCATCTTGGCTTTGGTCGTCCAATGGAATTCACTTTGACCTTTGGACAAATGGAAACGCGTGCTTTTGCGAAGGCACTTAAGTCGGGAAAGTCGGTTCAAGCAAATTTTAAATTAGAGTTATAATTACATGTCATTTATACACATAAAAAGACAATTTTGAGTCTTGGATTTTGCAATATTAAAGTTATGTTAACAACCCGTATAGCTCTTACTACAGTACCCTGGTAAAGTACTTCCATTTATTTAGTATGGGGGTATTATTCAATTCCAAGTGCAGATATCTTTGAATAGTACTTTTATACTAATCAGACACCTGATGTAATAACATTATCTATCAAGGGACCAAACTTTAATATAACCTTTATATATTTACTTTAGACAAAAAATATTGCAATACCAAAAAAAATCTTTGTCTTTATCTTACTGTAAACCCCTTACAAGGTATAGTATCTAGGGATGTTGACGATATGTAGGAAACTTGAACAAACGGCGGTTTATGCCTGCACTTAGAGAGAAATGACTGTATAGCGGTTACTTTTTTTTGATTACGAGACTGGCATCTGCATCCAAAACAAAGATTTTTGTGTTCCGTATTAGATCCCAAGTAACTTAAACTAAATCTAATTTTCCGATTTCAAATAGGATATAGATTTAAAAATTCGCATTTTTAAAGTAAACTCAAGATGGAATCGAATACTCATCATTGTAGTAAATGTTAAGTATTGTCAATAATAGATGCTAGCAATCCAACCCGGATTACTCCAAACCGGGTTACTCCATTGGAGCAACCCAGAACAGAGCTCCCGTTTGAGTTGTAGTAAACCCATTCTAGAGTGGCGCCAGAGTGGTCATAAATTTAGGTCGATCATATATTTTTCGTATTTTTCGTGCGTGCAATAGTTTATTTAAAACATCGTTGTACATTTTACACGGTGGATTTCACTAGGGTTCTATATAGAGATTGTTTAATCAAGGGCAATGGAATTATTCAAAGAGTCAGATGATAAAGCAAAAGTATGAATAATAGTTTAGATTCAAATAATAAAAGTTAATAATTATTCACTAACAGAAAAAAACTTTAATTAAAAATATTATAAAAATTTAATAGCAAATAACAATTCTCAAACACAACAATAATAATATCAATAATAATATCAAAAAATTAAATAGTTAATTAATTCTATAATTAAAAAACTAGAATCAAACATGACTATTCAACTTTGTATAGCCAAAGCACCAAAGTCTTCAATTCTTTAAGATAAAAAGAATTAAAACTATCAATTTTATTAAGATATAAAAGATATAAAAGTTAAAGTAATATTAGATAAGAATCAAAAATAATTTATTTTACTTCAAATTATATAAAAACTCTGACTTGCAAGAGTTATATAAATTAATTAATATAAAAATAAATATAAATCATTTAATAAAAATATATGAAATATAATATTATATCTTTATAGTTACTGTATTTGAAAAAGTAAAACTAAATGAATATAGAAAGATATAACTATAAAGAAATTTTTTTAATTATAGTTAGTTAATTGATAACTAGAAAACTCAAAAAAAAGATGATTATAAAAAATATAATTATAGAAAGATTTGATTGTATTTAATTTCTATTATTGAATTTGTAATAATAAGTTCTAAAATTATATCTATAATTTCTTTAAAACTTAATATTTCAAAGACTTAATAATAAAAATAAAATCAAAGATACAGTAATAATTATAAATAATGTAATGCTTGAATTTTTTTACTGATTATAATTAGTAAAAAATTCAAGCATTACATTATTTATGATTGTTACTATTTCTTAAATTTTTTAACTTTATTGAATAAAATAATGAATTTATATTTATTAAATTTAGAAATATCGAATCTCAAAGACTATACATAAAATTATTTATGAAAATTACATATATGATCTTTTTAAAATTTAAGATTCAATAATAAAAGTTAAATATAAAAATGCAAATAATAAGTTTTATATTTAATTTTCATTATTAAATCTCAAGATATTAAATATTAAGGAGATCTTACGCGAATTACTTGTGATAAAAATCATGAAAATTGATATCTTACATGCTATTATGCCATATATATAACTATTAAGTGTAATAATATCAAAAAGAATATAAAAATATTTTAAGAAAATCATTTTATAAATTTTTACATTTATTAAAGATAAAAATGTATTTTATTTATAATCAAGAACTCAACTTAGATCACGTGATCAAATACTAGATCAATCAATGGTCAAACAAATACATAATTTCCTCCAAAAGCATAGCTGCATATAGCTGGAACCGATTTTCAACATCCGACAAACACAATTCCGAGAATGACATCTCGAATGTACGAATCTTGATATTCGGAATTGTGTTCGTCAGGATGTAGTACAGGGCCAGCTGGACTTAGTCTCTAAATGCAAACTCTTTTAAATGCGCACTAATAATACATTGATCATAACAGAGGAGTTTCACTGTATTTAGATAAATAATAACTCATTTATGACCTCTGTATTGTATTCAAAACATGGATCAAGTATTCTAATCATGCGCAATAGCCAGATGCTGCATAAACCCGTTTCTTTCTGGATATATCTTTTTTTGGCCTATGGTTACCGCTTCATAGAAACGAACATGAACATGTATTTAAGAAAATGATAACTTGTTTTTTAAATTTTATACCAGTGAGAAATGACGAATTCTAGCAGTGACATTCGTGTGGTAGTAGGAATTGGTATGACTGAATATCAAAACGATATATATACTTTTATCAAGACAATTAATACGCAGTTTGATTTTTTTCATAGATTTCGGAACAACTTATTCAGGTAAATGCGCAATATAATGACAATAGAAAAAAGATTAAATTCTTAATAAATTTGACAAAATAAATACCAGGATTTGCCTACGCGAATGTCAACACGCCCAATAGCATAGAGACCAATGATACTTGGTAAGTGCTAGTTGACTCACTAAATTTGTATTATAAGTTAACATTAAATTTTGGGAAAAAGGCCCGAAAACAAAGGCGAATTCAAAACAAATACGGTGATTCGATATGATAAAAAGCTCAATGTTATCAAGTGGGGTTTACCTGCTTTAGCTGAAAAGATTTCAAGAAAGAGTGGAAATTCAAAATCTGAAGAAGCTCAGATTGCTGAGTTATTCAAGCTTCATCTCGCCGAAATTGACGAAGAAGAAAAACCAAAGTTACCTTTAGGTTTAGATCCCAGAAAAGCAATCACTGATTATTTATGTGAAGTTAGAAAGGTATTTTTACAAAAGTTTAATTACATGTATATATGACAAATTAAATCTAATTAAAATTTTACAAAATAAAGCTTATAAAATCCAGAATATCTGACCGATGGCCGGGATTGATTTACTTTAAACATGTTCGAATTGTTCTCACTGTGCCTGTTGAATATGATGAGAGAATTCGCGCTATCATGCGACAATGTGCCTACGATGCGGATCTTATACTTACACTTGAATCAGAAAATCTGGAATTTACTACTGAACGTACGTGCATGCAAATACAAACGAAAAGAAAAATCTAATATTAAAATTAAGTTTTTGTATTTATTTAGCGGAAGCTGCTGCAATTCATTGTCTCGAAAATCTAAGTGAACATCCCTTAAAAGAAGGAGGTGAGATAATCTTATTCTTTGTACTCATTAATCAGATTTGACATATGTTTATAATTCTTTTATGTATGCAGATTCATTTATGATTGTTGATTGTGGCGGCGGGACAATCGATTTGACAGTCCGCACGATTCTATCCGATTCAAAATTAAGTGAGCTCACAGAAAGCACTGGTGATTTCTGCGGCTCCACATATATCGACAAGGAATTTAAAAAGTTTTTGGGTGCTAAAATTGGAAAATCAGCGCTTGAATTTATGGAAGAGAAGCATTATCCTCAGCTTCAATATTTGATTCAATACTTCTGCACCCATGTAAAGATTCCATTCGATGGCGATGAAAGAAACTGGCGAAATAAAGAAATTGATCTTGAAGAAGTTTGTCCCGTTATTATGCAATATGTCAAAGGCGACGAAAGAGAAGAGATGGAAGAGTGCGAATGGCTTATCGAATTAGACTTCCAGATGGTTAAATGTTTCTTTGACAAAGTCATCGAAAATATTTTAAGGCTAATCCATGAACAACTGATCAAGTCGAAAAAGACTATTTCTGCAATTTTTTTAGTTGGCGGGTTTTCTGAATCCAAGTATTTATTACATCGTGTCCGACAGGAATTTAATCGCCAAGTTTCGTATATCTCAGTCCCATCTTATCCAGTCACTAGTATTGTTAAGGGTGCTGTTATGTATGGTAATTATTTTACACATGATCAAATGATAATTTTATATACATGTATAAAGAATTCATTGCGATTACATTTTTCTATTTAGGTCTGAAAATGGATAAAGTTAAAACACGTGTACTCAAAAAAACTTATGGGATCGAGCTTTACCGCGATTGGACTTTCAAAGATCCAATTGAAAGAATGAAAATTGTAGATGAACAAAGGAAGATTTTAGTTTTCACGAGATTGGCTAAAAAAGGGACTGAAGTTCTTGTTGACCAAGCATTCACAAAAATGGTTTATCCGGTGCATAAAGAACAGCTTACATGTGATTTCTCCATCTACAGAATTAATGCTGACGATGGCAAATACTGTGATGACCCAGAAATGAAACTCTTTGGGACACTTACTTTGGTGAGTGTCGTCAACTTTATATTCATGTGATTTTGAATTATACATGTATTAACTTTTCTTTATTATTAATAGGACATTCCCGATATTCATCTTGGTTTAAATCGTCCAATGGAATTCACTTTGACCTTTGGACAAATGGAAACGCGTGCTTTTGCGAAAGCACTTAAGTCAGGAAAAACGGTTCAAGCGAATTTTAAATTAGAGTTGTAATTACATGTCATGTATACACATGATATATTTATCATAAAACTTGTTATTTGAGTCTTTGAATTTTCAATACACGATATTATCGTTATTAAATATGTATAAGTATATTCTAAATAAGGAAATTCAATTGATTATTAGTTGAGTAGATATACAAAATACATGTCCATGTAATTAATGCAGCATCACATGTAGAACTACACGAAAATATTTCTTTTTTACGAGCAGGATCTCTGAAACTGTTAAAGCTTTTCGCAAAGGCAGCAAATATAAAAGATTTTCTTTCGGAATTTAGCATCTTTATTTTCACGGATTTGAGACATCGGAAAGACAAATGGTTACATGTATTCTAAATACAACTACAAACTTACGCGTTATAACGCGCTAAAAACGATTTCTAAATTAAAATATATTGAATATGAAGAATCTCTACAATTCTAGTTTGAAGTTTGCTTTTGCAATTGTACCCGATCTGATACTTCGTGCGATTGCACGCGTTTCCATTCTACCAAACATCAAAGTAAATTCGATTGGACGATTGGTACCAAGATTAACGTCAGGCAAATCCTGTTGAAATAAATAGGTGAAGTTTTATAAAAATGCCTTAGAATCTAAATTAGCAAGACTTACCAATTCAAGTTTCCCAAACAGATTCATTCCTGGTTCGTCGCAAAATTTTCCATCTTTTGCGTTAGTACGGTAAATTTCAAATATCGTAGTTTCTTGATTCGGAAACGATGGCCAGGATGTATTTCTGAATGGTTGATCAACCTCAATCTCGGTACCTTTTTTGGCTAATTGTTTGAAAAATAAAATCTTTTCTTTCGAATCAACTATTTTCTTTCGTTCTTCTGGATCATCAGGAGTCCAATTGCGATAAAGCTCAATTCCATAAGTGTGTTTGAGAACACGTGTTTTAATTTTATTCATTTCCAAACCTAATTGAAAAACATTATTAATAGTTTGCAAATAAATAAATAATCAATTATATGATATAAATAAATTATTACCATAAATGACAGCTCCCTTTACAACGCTAGCAACTGGATGAGATGGGACTGCAATATATGGAACTTGGGAGCTAAATTCCTGTCGAACACGATGCAACAAGTATTTGGATTCGGAAAAACCGCCAACCATAAAAATCGCGGAAATGTTTTTTTCCGAATCATCCAATTGCTGACGAATCAGTCTAAGGATTTTTGGGATAACCTGATCAAAGAAATGTTTAACTGTCTCGAAATCTAATTCGATAAGCCATTCGGACTCTTCTAATGCGTCTTTTTCTTCATCTTTAACGTATTGCAACAGAATGGGACAAAGGGTTTCAAGATCGAGTTCCTTAGTCCTCCAGTTGTTTTCATCACCATCAAATGGAATCTTCACATGCGTGCAGAAATATTGAATCAAATATTGGAGTTCCGGGTAATGTTTTTCTTCCATTAACCGAAAGGCAGCTTTTCCAATTTTACGAGAAAGGAATTTTTTGAATTCTTTATCAATGTATGATGAGCCACAAAATTCACCAGTACTTTCTGTGATTTCGCTTAATCTTGCATTGGGAAGAAGTGTACGAACGGTTAAATCAACGGTACCACCGCCGCAATCTACTATCATAAAAGAATCTGTATAGCATAATTACAGGTATAAATTCTTAGTAAAATGTTTAATGTAGCGAATAAAAAAGCTATGATTAATTTTTGTTTTACCTCCAACTCTTAACGGATGTTCGTTTACATTTTCAAAACAGTAGATCGCAGCAGCCTCAGCTATTAAATAGAAAAATAAAAAAATTTAAGTTAATTATCTCTGATCTCATGCTAGGCTGCTACCAAAAACTTACGTTCAGTCGTGAATTCCAGATTTTCTGATTCTAATGTGAGTATTAGGTCCGCATCATAAGCGCATTGACGCATAACCTTGCGAATTTTTTCGTCATATTCGACAGGCACAGTGAGAACAACGCGGACATGTTTATGAAAAATTAGACCTGGCCATCTTGCGGATACTTTGCTGTTTATTAGCTTGTTGTTTACAAAAAATGATGTGACGCTTCTATTTCACAACACACTATTAAAAATTTATTAGAAGTTGAATTCACAACCATACCTTTCCTATTTCTCGCAAATAATCAGTAACTGCTTTTTTTGGATTTAAACCCGCCGGCAATGGAGGTTTATCATCATCCGCGATTTTACCAAGATGAAGCTTGAATAGCTCAGCGATTTTTGAAATATTGTTGGAGTGCGCATTTCTGTTCCTCTTTGAGGATCTTTCAGCTAAAGCAGGAAATCCCCATTTGACTAGTTCAAAGTCATTATTGTATCTAATCACAGTGTTAGTTTTAAATTCTCCCCTCCTCTCGGGCCTTTTTGTCAAAAATTATGTTAGGAATATTTTCGTGTAAGATTATAACTTTTTAACATCATACCAATCTTCATTTGCCTCGATTTTAGAAGGATTCGCCATGTTAGCGTATGCAAATCCTAAAATTTGTTTATATCGATATTCTTTTTAGATTCTATCTTTCGGAAATCTCGTTTATTACATACCTGAATACGTTGTTCCGAAGTCTTTAGATGAATTAAAATAATTATATTCAATTAGTGTTACGCAATGTTATCAATCTATGCTATTCTCATTAATTTTCGTATATTAAACTTACCGATCCCAACTACCGCGCGAATGTTATTGCAAGAAGTTGTCATTTTTGAAGATTGCAGTGCAAGTTTTGATTGGTATCTTTTGTTCTTTAAATAAATTATAATCATTGTAATTAACTTTATTTAAATTAGTTGAACATAATAATTGCATTTTCTTCTAACTTGATTCACATGAGCTTATAAGAATAGCTTCTCAAAACCTCATGAAATATAATGATTCGAAACTTTAAAATAATAATATGCTATTGATCTATCAAAAATTGATTGTCTCTTTTCTGCATTATCTTTTTTTTATTATTCAAAATAATAATTGTATTATTCGTCTTTCCATGAGTTTCTCACACTTTATCATATCATTATATAACGAGAAATAATGACATCAAAATTTAATGATCATCGGGATTAGAATAAATTTGGATATCAAGTAAAAACGCGCGCCGCAATACGTATTGTTAAAGTTTGAATTTCGTGGGCATTAATAATACACGGATTATTTAACGTCTCATTATTATAATTAAACTATTGTTAAAGCGCGGAAGTCTTATTATATCTTTGCGAATTTTTTATATTGATAGTAACTCGAGAACCATCATCAATTTTTTCACGTGAATAAATCTGCTATTTCTACAAGCATATAATGAATCGCCTTATGATTACGAAACTTTTAATTATTAAAGTCGAGAACAATAACGGAACGAGGCTAAATTTGCTCACGGAATAAGCCATGAATAAAACAATAAGGAAGTATCCTTGTCAAAAAAGTTAACAATTTGTCAATAAGTGGAAAAAAATCCTATTATTATTTCCAGATAAGTGAATTTAAACTGGAAGAAAAGCACGTACTTGCAAAGATTATTCTGAAGCTCGTATTTGAATTTTTCGAAAGAAACATTTCGAGCCCGCGACCTTGTAAAATGGCGACGATCAATTGTGATAAAGGTAATTTTTGATGGACGTGGATTGAAAACTTCTCTGTAGAGCAATACCTAATAAATGATAACTTAAAGGACCAGTTGAAGAGAATGAGAATTTCGACCAAAATAAAATGGGTAAATGTCCGCACATATGTTATTTTTGTTAAATTGACAAAAATCACACTTTGCCTAACAATAAGTACAAAAAA